ATCTGTTGTGGAGAGCTCTAAGGGAGCAATTGTGATATGATATCTCAGTCTCACGTGGCTGAAGACGCTCAGTGCTGGTTCCAATACTATAATCTTGAACATGTTGATTCAAAGCAATGTGCATGATTAGGTGGTTTAATTGTATGTTTTAAAGGAAGCTGTGACCTTTCCAGTCGCATCCTGGATGTAGTATCGTGCTGCTGGGAGGAGGGTAAGACAACTGTGTGTGTGGGAGGCTGACAATAGTAAGGTTCATTTGTGTAATTATTCGAGTGTATTCAGTGCTTTTAAACGCCATTTGGCCATTGCCCCAGATGTTAGTGACCACTGTTATTTAAAGTGAATAGGAACACATTTAAGTTGCCTTGAACAAAGATCCAGAAGCAGTACCAATAAATTGTAAACAGAGTGTATGCCAGCAATGTATACAGGTCTCTTCCTCTTCTCCAATTCAGAAAAGCAAACCAACATTCAAAATTACAGGCCTGATATTCTGATCCATCAATCCATTAGTTAAAAGCTTTGTTGTTATTGTTGTTGGTGGTGTTGTTGTTGGTTGTTGTTGTTGTTGTTATTGTTATGTGCCATCGACTCATAGCAATTCTATGTACAATAGGTCTGAAGTCTGTCCTACCCTGAGCCAGTCTCACTGGCATGACACACCTATCTTCATTATTCCAATTACTATGTCAGTCCATCCATTCCACACTCTTCTTCTGCACTGTTCCTCCACCCTTTCAATCATGATGTCCTTCTCCAAAAACTGGTTCTTTCTGATTACGTGCCCAAAGTATGTGAGATGGAGCTTCAGAATCCTAGCCTTCAAGGAGAAACTTGGTTTCACCTTCTCTAAAACAGACCTGTTTGTTCTCTTGGTAGTCCATGATATGCTCAAGACTCTTCTCCAGCACCACAACCAAAGGCATAGATTCTTCTATCATGCTCAGTCATTGCCCAGCTCTCTGGTACAAAGCACGTAATTGCAAAGACTTGCCTGGATCAGATGCACCTTAGTCTCTAGATAAGCATCATTGCTCCTCAGTGCTCGGAGAGGACCCTCACAGCAGATTTTCCCAAAGCAATACATCTTTTTATTTCCTGCTTGCTGGTGCCAAGAGTTGAGTTGAGCCGAGCAAGCTAAAATTGTTAACAACCTGAAGCTCTTCTCCATCTACCATGGTGATGATAATTGGCCCAGTGGTGAGAATCTTTGTCTTCTTGAGGTTTAGCTTCAACCCACATTAAAGACTACAGTTCTTGACTTTCTGCAGCAAGTGCTTCAGGTCCTCTTCAGTTTCAGCAAGCAAGGGTGTGTCATTTGCGTAACACAGGTGAAAATGAGTCTTCCTCCAAATCATCCAGCTTCTCAAATGATCTGTTCTGCATATAGATTGAAAAGGTATGGAAACAGGACACATTACTTTCCTGAATTGGAACCACGCAGTGTTTCCTTGCTGTGTTCTGAGGACTGCTTCCTGGTCCCAGTATAGGTTTCACATGAGCACAAGCAAGTGTTCTGGGAAGTAATGCTAAAAGCGTTGCAGTTTAATAATGATATAAGACATCAACACAATTCTTGTCATTTTCAGGTGGTTTACAATTAAAAAATCACTTTCACATTCATTATTATTTTTAATAAGGGAGACAAAGTAAGGATTCTTTTCTCGATGTTATGGTTGAAACCAAAATGCAGATTTGTTAAGTGACTTGCAATAATGAAGTTAGGGCATAAACACATTTGGCATCATGTGGATTGTTTCCTCCCCATGTTTTGGTGTCTATAACTAGAAGACACCTCTCCTGAAAATAAGCTTCATTCCCAGGATGTTATAAATGTTCATGCCAAGACCTAGAGTCTTGAAATTCCCAGGATGTTATAAATGTTCATGCCAAGACCTAGAGTCTTGAAATACAAATTAATTCTCTTAGGAAGCTGCATTGTTTCTCTGTAGTGTGTGCAGCCAAGATTCCCCACAAAAGAAAGAATTGGCCTAGCATTAGTTATCAAAAGTTACCTAAGGATTAGATTGGGCCAAACTGCAAAGGATAGATGGAGTGCTCTAAAAGGGAAGCAGTTACCCACATAGTTCAGCCCTCTACCATTTTCAGTTAATTGAGGCAGAAAATACGTTTGGAACCTGAACTTTAACTATAGTTGGCCTGGTCATCTCTGTGGTTTTTATGTGACAATATGGGCACACGTAAAACCACCAGGTGCTGATAGCCTCTGTCCTAAACCATAAATTACCTCCAAAACAGCATCATCCGGATCCTTGGCTGCTGCTCTGTAAATGACTGTGCCTGGAGCAATGTCTTCTAGGATATAGATCTCGGTAACTGCCAGAAAATGTACAAGAGATGTGCTTCAATGAGTATAATCGCTATAAACCCAGAAATGTTCATCAAAGATTGTTGATCAAGCTTATGGCCCTGTATTTGCTTGGCACAGACATTGTATAGAGTGATTCCCATTAAGTCAGTAACAGTCACTAGGCATCATTTTTTTTTATTAAGTGTCTATTCTGTGTAGAATACAGAGCCAAGAAATTAGAAATTTAAATGGTAACAATGATGTTGAGTATTCCTTCTTCTTCTTTTACTTTTTTAAATTTGTGTGATTTGTGTGACAATTTGTAAAGCATATTGAGGTGTTGTTAGTCAATCATTCCACATCTTCCGTTCTATAACACTAATTATACCATACACAATGTCAGATCAGCCATTCATTCTACATTCTCCTTCCCTTCACCATCCCAATAATGTTTTCATCAGGACACACGCAGAAAATAGTACATTTTCTCTAAGCATGGAATATCATTGGTGATCTCATTATTATTTCCATTTTATTGACAAAGTCTAAAAGCGTGAGTCTAGAAAGATTTAATAACTACCTCAAGGTTTATAGGTACGTAGTTCATACATTAATTTCATCTGATTATTTGATTAATAATGGACTTCTTATTGAGCTCTTTCCTTTTATTTTTAAAACAACAAGGGTTATGTACTTGTACAGTTGCCAGTCAAACCACTCTCAAGGATCAGGAATGCTGAGGTCATGTGAGATCTCTGGGTAATAAATGGAAGACCCACCCTTAAGAGAAGCTGTTGTGTCATTTTGTCAATAGGGTAGGATTTGTGTCTAGCAAGGAAGTCTACATCAGTCTTTGGACTTAAAAAAAAAAAAAAGGAAAAAGAGAAGAGTTCTGGCAGAATGGTGCATACTAATTCAGCCTGCCAACCAAAAGATTGGCAGTTCAAACCACCTTCCGTGGAAGAAAGCTGGATCTGTCTCTTCCTGTAACCAGAAAGCAAAGGAATGTTGACTAAGAGCGGCTCAACTCGATGGCAGAGGGTTTTTGGTTATCAATGAGTAAAAGTTCCTAGGGTATCCACCAGCACTGGGAGCAAAGGTAACCAGAATGTTATTCTAATTGTTTGCTTTTGGTATCAGAAGTATGTGCTTTGCCCTGGTATCTGCCCTAGAGAAGTGTGTCACTTACAGGGAAGGACAAAGGAGAACAAGTAGCATGGGGCTTTGCCTGGCATGCTTAAATATCAGCCCAAGTCATCTCAGCAGTCAAAGTCAGGTCATCGCCATCAACTCAGAACCAACTCCTAGGTGACCCTGCAGAGAGTCTTCTGAGGAAGACTATTATAAGGAACAAGACAGCTCTTCTCTCTCCTGCAATGCAGCTGGTAGATTTAAACTGTCCAGGAGGCCAGGACTGCGGGGCAGCAGTGCCACTCCCTGTGGAGTGTGCCTTAGAATTCCCAGCACCTCATCAAGAAAGGATCAATGCCTCCGTTCAACAAATTCAAGAACTGAGGCTCAGACAGAGCAATTCATTCTCCACAGATTCCACAGCTAACAGTCACCCCCAACAACTGGATCTCAGATGATTTTGTCGATAATACAGGGAATATATAGGTATCACATGGTGGCAAAATCCACAGATGGCTGGGTGTAGTAAGCCATACCACAGCCATTTTATGCAAGTAGCCTTTTATGCCGGGTTCAAATGTGAAGATGTTTGAAGGGGAGCAAAAACAAGTATAACCTTTCCTTGAACCCCAAGACCAGACAGGGATGTGGAGAATAGAATGTCCCTCCCTAGAGACTCTGTTTGGATGGCCTTTCCTGCTGCTGATAAACCTTGCAAGTGGCGGGGATATCAGAACAAATGTATTGTTGGCCTTGAGGCTGTTGTTTTTCTGTTCACTGCAAAAAGAATGCAAGACAGGAGTTCAATAATAAACTTTGCTATTCACCATCAGCAATAGCCTCTCTGCGTCTTCATTTAATCTTCATCCTTTCTCTCGGTGGAACTGTTTGATATAATGAGGCTGGACTCTGTTAGTTGTGCTCTTAATCCAAAGATGGCTTCACAGGGCAATGTGATTTACATCCTCATGAAAATTAGCTGGAGGGTCAGCTATGAGTCACAGTTTCAACCCATCAGCAATGAGACGAGAGAGAAACATTTAAAGATTTAAACGATGCCTGATGCATAGTCAACCAGCTGCCGCTGAGTTAGCATTGACTTGTGGCAAACCCAAGCATGTCTGAGGAGCAAATATGAGTTAAAAATAGGGGGTTTGAGGTTGATTTTATTGGTTTGGTGGTTTTGGGAATTAGATCACCAGATCATCCTTCTAAAGTGTCTCTAGATAGACCAAAACCGCCAATCTTCCAGTTAACAACCAAGCACACTAACTGCATATACCAACCAAGAATTCAGAACATAGTTATGTCCCAACAATAATCAGCTATTTATCAGTACATCATTCTTATTATTCCCTTTGTTACTATTATAACCACAGCATCATGAAAGTACATAGTGCACAGGGTACTATGTCCATATATTACATATAAATATAAATGTAAATATAAATTACAACTATAACTATAAAATACAAATATAAATATAAAATATAACTATAAAATATAAATATACACATCTCCATCTGGAATCCTTTCCCCAAAGGGAAAAATTTTGTACCTTGGCCACCCTGAGAGAGGGATCCAGTGAAGGCAGGTGGCTCATTTACATCTGCAATCTGGATTAAAATGGTCTGCGATGCTGTGGCCCCTTGGTTGTCTTTCGCATAAATTATCAGGGAGTAGAGCGCAACTGTCTCAAAGTCCAGCTTGGGTACTCCAGTGGTGAATAACTAAGTGAATGATAAGAAAAATAAAAGCTTAAGGTGATGGAAGAAAGAATGTTCACTGAATTACTGAAATCTTTAATCTCCAATATGAGTCATCATTAAAAACCATACATACTGGAAAATAGATGAAAAACAGAATAAGAGCATCTCTGGTCCCTCCCCTATTCAATCTTCCTGCCCCATCTCCTAGTCTATGTTTCCTCTGCAGTTTTCACACTGGTTTTTTAACTGCTCCTCTCAGAAGCCCCTTGAGTTGAGCATCAGGACAAGTGGGTTCAAGTCCCATCTCTAGTAGGAACTGATTCTGTACCTTTGGTCTTTCCTTGGGTCTCTAGTTTGGATTTCCTACTCTGTTATATAAAAGCCTCTAATGTTTTCTGTTGTTGACATCTTTTCCAGGTCTAGCTTGATCCAGAGAGGTTAGGAAATGTTCATTTGTAAAGCTTTCTTGTTGTCAGTCAAAGTAACAGAAACACAGGTTTTCTTGAGTTAGCAAGTCCCACTGGGAATCCATATCTGTCTTTACACAGTCCATTTCAAAGCATTTGGTCTACCATAGTGGTAAGCTCTATGACAATACTAATAGTTTACACCTATTGCTTACTTAGTATATTCCAACTGCAAGTGTTTCACAGGAGCTAAGGAGAGCCCTGGTGGTCTAGCCCACAGAGAGTAACACTATGAAGCCGAAGACCACACTTCTCTGGTGGTTCAAATCAACCAATGTCTCCATGAGATAAAGATGGGAAATCTCCACTGTAATATACAGCCTCAGAAAAGTAATGGAAAGTTCATTATGAGTCAGTTCCATGTCAATGAACAATGAGAATAGGAACTATATGGTTTAATACAGACTTTTAAAAAACAAAACAAAACAGTGTAGTTGGTTTGTGTTAATAGAATGCCCGTTTTGTTGTTGTTGTTGTTGTTACATGCCATCGAGTCACTTGTAACTCATAGCGACTCCATGTACAAGAGTCCTAAACCCTGCTCTATCCTGTGCCAACCTCATCGTCTCAAACACATTCATTCCCACCACCCCAATCACAGAATCGATCTATTTCATCAATGGTCTTCCTCTTCTGCACTGTTCCTCCACTCTCCCAAACATGATGTCCCTCTTCAAGGACCAGTCCCTCCTTGCAGCATGCCCAAAGTATGTCAGATGAAGCTTCAGAATCCTTGACTCCAAGGAGCACTCTGGCTTCACCCTATCCAGGACAAACCTGTTTGTTCTCCTAGCAGTCCATGGTATATTCAACACTCTTCTCCAGCACCACAGCTCAAAGGCATCAATTCTCTTTCTATTATCCCTAGTCACTATCCAACTCTCCAATGCATAACATATGATTGTGAAGACTATAGCCTGGATCAGGCACACCTTAATCTCCAGCCTAACCTAGTTGCTCTTCAATACTCTTGAGAGGTCCCTCACAGCTGACTTTCCCAATGCAATTCGTCTCCTGATTTCCTGGCTGCTGTTACCAAGAATGTTGACTGTGGAACCAAGTAAACTAAAACTGTTAATTATCTCAATCTCTTCACCATCTATACTGATGCTGCCAATAGGCCCGTTTTACTAATGGAAAACTGAAGCTCAGAGTAAGAATCCAGGAAGAAGCAGCATTGGCACCTAAGTCCATGATCTTAACAGTGTTGCTGCACTCCCAGCACGTATGGTCTTCTAAGGACTAAGACCACTGACACTCAAAAGAAAGGGTCTAAACATCACCCTGCCACCTTCATATTGATAAAAACTCACATTTATTATTTCATGTGTTCTTGGTCTTTCTCTCATTAAAATCATCCAAACAAATCTATGAAGTGGTACTATTTTTCTTGCAATGTCATAGATGGAGAACCGAAGTTTAGAGAGACTGTCCAATGCAGCTAGGAAAGTGTCACTTCAGGAAGAGGTGGAGTGTAGGGCTGACCCCACCAGTCTGCTCCAGAGCCCTGGTCCTAACCTCTCCACTGTTTCTGAGAGCCACACCTGGGTGTTTTCTCATAATAAGCTCTCCTCTGCCTAACACTTAATCATCTGCTGGCCATGTTACCTCTTATGGTTCTCCCATTAATCTCATTAAGTAATTACTATTATCATCCCCGGGTTACCAATGAGAAAACTGAGTCTCAGAAGGCAGGAGTTCGCCTGAAGCAACACAGCTAATAAATGACAGAGCTGAGATTCAAAGCAGTTTCCCCAACCCTGAAAAAACATCTCCTTTCATCACATCCTGATACTTCCTGATAATTAATAAAATTTTTATTTCTTATTCACTGTTATCCATCAATAGAGTGCTAAGCCTGATTGAAGAAATACTTGGAGCCTGGTGCTGCACAATGAAGTGCTGGTCTACTAACAAAAGGGTTGGCAGTTCTAACCCAGCCACCAGCTCTGCAGAAGAGAAAACTGTCAATCTGGTCCCATAACAATTAAAGCCTAAAGAACTTTCTACGGCCATTTTACTCTGTCGCAAAGGTGGCTGTGTGTCAGAATTGACAACCCAATAACATAATACTGGAGGAGAAAGGCCAGAAGAGAGCTTTAGTCCCTCTCTGATGGATTGCTCCCCCATCCAGGGAACAGGAAGTGCACCCACAAAAGATAACTTGGGTTCATCCTCTCATCCTGGGTGTGCAACTCAATTTATGTTCCTCAAAGACAGGTAGCAATTTGAAGATTACATAAGCACGGCATATATCTTGTCACATTCCCACTGATTTAGCTATGTAATCAACTCACTTGATGCTTTGCTATTGTTTCTCTGGGAAACTAAATTTTTAGTTTGCTTGTTTGCACTGTCACCTTCATTCCCCACCTGCTCAATCAGTCTTTTGCTAACCAAACAAGCATATATCCTGCAAGAAAGGAAGTTTACCAAAGGATAATGATATGCTAGGCCCCAAATTGAACTGTATATGTGCTTTTACCTCGTGACATTATAGAGACAGATACTAGCCCATCATCCAGCTTTTCTCTGCAGATGTGTTTCAAAGCTAGTAAACAGTTTTCCCAATTAAAGTGTATCTACAGCTAGCTAGAGCTGTGCTATGATATTGTTATGATATATAAGACCACATTTTTTTATTATCTTCAACCTGGCTGACGCTGAAGTGTACATATATTTATTACAGTCCTGTGTTAAATGCTTGCTGCATGCCAAGCACTAATGAATATTTTAAGAAGCCTGAGTGGTGCCATGGATTACACTTTAGGCAGACAATATTAAAGTTGGTGCTTCAAGTGCATCAGCTATTCCAAGGTAGGAAGATGAATAATCTGGAAATCCAGAGAAGCATGCTACAATCAGAGTTGCCTCAACAGCAATGTATTTAAATGATATTTTGCATAACGTATCTCGCTAGATCTCCTCAACAGTTCTTGAGAGATAATTATATTTAGCATATATTGTCTCATTAGATTTCCTTAACAGTCCTCAAAGTGAAGCAGTACGTTTTATATTATTATGAGCTTTTATCCAGTTTAAATCTGACATCTGACTTCTCACTTCCAGACTTAAATCAGAAGCCTGCTTTCTACTTACTTACTATTCATCTTGTTCCACAAAAGAGAAAACCAAAGTACCGGATAGTTAAATAAGTAACCTGACAGCATGTTGCTACTAAACCAGAAAGCTGTGATTCTTATTACGAATGCTGGTGTATCAGACCCCAAAACCTGAACTTAGATACAGCTTTGTTTGACGGGTCTTTCCATAAAATAATTAGAGATAGGAAGTGGAACAACTTCTGCTGTGTTTAGCTGCTACTTAGATTTGTAATTTAGAAAGCAATCTGACCATGAACAAGTATGAGACACCATTTTACACCTAAGTGAAGCTGAAAATGTTAAGTCTGACAAAACCAAGGTTTAACAAGATACTCAAGAGTCTCTTCAAAGCTCTAGTGATATATCACTACTCCAGTCACTATAGCTAGAGTACTCATTTTAAAATGTAAATAATTTGTGTATCATTTCTGCAAAACTCTCTGGTGGTTTCTTAAATGTAGGAGCTGGATTTAATAACCCAAATTCTTTACCCTTTTTGGTGGCTGATGTTGTGTGTCAACATAGACAAGACCCTCAATATGATGTAATTATTCTGTGTTGTAAATTCTAGCCTTGATATTAATGAGGCAGGATTAGAAGCAGTTATGTAGTGATATAATCAGCCCTAATCCATTGTAAAATAAGTCTTCTCAAAGATGTGGCCTCACTTGCCAGCTTTGGACTCATTCACCTCCACAAATACCTCTCTCCTGAGATCTGATCCTTAAACATGGAATTCACCAGCCTTTAAAAGCATGTGACATATTACCTTGAAATAAATATCTCTCTCTCTCTCTCTAATATATATATATATATAAATTGATTTTACTTCTCTAGGAAACCCAGACTCAGAATCCTCCAGCCATATTGATACTTGAACTTCATGAGACAGCATATTTTTAAGCTTACAGTCTTTTATTGATGCTGGTTTTCTGATCTAACGTCCTTTCCTGTGAGTCCTCCTGAGGGAGTACTGACTTCTAGACACAGCCTCTCCCAGCTTTCCCATTCTAGTTTTCTCCTCTACAATCTAGTCTCTTACCACACTCACTTTCATCTCCTCCTATACTAGCCTCTTCTCAAACCATTCTCACTATTCCCTTTGTTGCCACAGGGCCTTTGCACTGTTCTTCCATCCATCTAGAGTGCTCTTCCCTCTTTGTTTATCTATCCTCTTTCTTTGTTTATCTATCCTCTTTATGCTACAGATTGTTGTCCATGTGCTCTGACTAAAATGTCCACTAGGTGCTCACATAATACAAATGTCCTTGAGTTCCATGGATCTCATTACATTTACAAAGTTATACTTGTTTAGATAGTTACTTAATATTTTCTCTGTGAATTGGTAAATGACACAAAGACAAGGATCATGTCCTACCATGATAGTGTCAGAGCCTAAGTATGTCTTCAGCCAAAACGCATTGCTGTTGAGTTAAATTCAGACTCACAG